GCCAAGGACGGGCCACTACAAACAATATTTATTAACACAAAATTTATTTTTAAATAGTATGAAATACAATGATAAAAATAAAATAACCTTCAAAAATGTTTGTTGTAATAATTATGTAATCATTACAATGTAATATTTCATGTTTTATTATTTTGATGCATGACATTGCATTGAACTAACAAGTTTTTTTATATTTGGCTCCACATTACTTGTAGCCACACGTATAATTGCTTCCAAATTTTCATTTGCCAGACGGTTTCGGTTTTTCGTTTTGTTAAGTTTCATCACTGAAAACGTTTGTTCACAAATATACGTCGATCCAAATAAGCTTGCGCATTTCAATGCATTTATTCGCAACTCTTTATAAGCGTTTTTATCAACGCAACGGTAGAAGTTGAGTAAATTACCTTCATTAAATTTGTTTCTTAAATTATCATCATTTTGCATGTCTATTAATTCCAGCTGCATTAATTCCGGCGCATTTTCGGGTGAAATGTTGAAAGGATTGCTGAAAATGTCCAATAGCGGTTTAACTTTTTTGAAGTCTACAAAACGATTTTCAAAAGCTTGTATCAAAATATCAATTTTTTCAACATGAGCGAAATTGACGTCAGTTTTATTGAACTTCTCCATAATTTTTTTGTAGTTCGGAAAATGGCCGTAATTGGCTGAATTGATTTGTGTCCTGAAAAGACTCAATTTGCATTGAAAGGACGAAACATGAGAGTATAGCTGCGAAATCAATTGATCTTTGCCTTGGAGTCGCGTATTTAAGACATTCAAGTGATTTGTGATGTCTACAAGAAACGCTAAGTCACACAGCCAATCAGGGTTGTCGAGTTCGGGGACGTCGTTTTTCTTTTCCGCCAGAAATAGTTGGATTTCTTCAATCAAGTTAAGAAATCGCTGTAGTGTCAACCCACGACTTAGCCACCTTACTTCAGTGTAAAACAGGAGATCACCATATTCGCTTTCAATATCCTCGAGAAATTGTTTGAATTGTCGGTGATTGAGACCTCGTGATTTTATAAAGTTTACGGTAGGTACTACAACTTTCATAACATTTTCAAATCCCAATAATTTTGAACAGAGGGCCTCTTGATGTATAATACAATGAAACTGCATTAATTCCTTGGTATTTATGTTTTTAGTTTGTAAATATGTTTTTAACAGAGTTACTATCCCAGATGTACTTCCAACCATTGAAGGTGCTCCGTCAGTTGTAATTCCAGATATTTTCGTTAAATCCAAATCCATTATAGAACATTTTTCTAGAAGAGCTTTGAGCATGTCACTTCCCCTGGTTTGACTTGTCAAAGAACTCATACCAATCAGTTCTTCACTCACTTCAAAATTTTGCGTTACACCTCGTAAAAATATTAATAGTTGAGCAGTTGAACTTATATCTGTAGATTCGTCGAGCGCTATAGAAAAATACTCAAAACTTCTCGATTTCGTAGCTAATTGCTCTTCTATATTATCTGCTAATGCGGTAATTCTTCTTTGAACAGTCATCCGATTTAACTGAATTTTTTCAAACTTCTTTACATTTTCCGGACAAATTTTTTTTGCGGCGATATCCAAACATTGCTTAACAAACTCACCATCTTTAAAAGGCCGACAAGTTTTCGCTATTATTCGAGATATTTCAAAGCTAACTTCAGTGGCTGTTTCAGCATCTTGAATTGGTTTTGTAAACATAGATTGCTGGCCTATTAGTTCCCGTTGTAAAGTGGAAATTCTTTGCGTTCGATTTTCGCCAGTTAATTTGGTAAAAGTTGGATGCTGGGTTTCATAGTGCCTTTTCACATTATATTCCTTCGGAATAGAAACACTACTCTTGCATATTAAACAGACAATTTTGTTATGCGATGAAATAAAAAAGTATTTTTCGGTCCAAATATCATGAAACTGTCGATTTTCATCTTCAACCTTACGACTACGTTTCTTACTGGGGCCTGGTTTATCCGTATCAAAATTAATATTATATGTTACAGTCGGTAAAAGCCAAGTTCGAACGACGAAATATTTACTCGTCACAGATTACAGTTCTCAAACAGTATCACGTTCGCTTATCCGTAGTCAAAACTTAACTGTCCCGGTAGCCGGCGATGCGTCGTATTTATACGAGTTACCGAACATCGAGAACCATCCACTTTGTTCGGGGATCGACGTGTTTCGCGAATCTGTAATCTAGTTGATGCGACAGATTTCTAGTCTCGTAATAATATGCTTGGACCGGAGCGCGACGAGTAGAATACTTTTAAAATTCGTTGGCGGACCGCATAAACATCGACAGCGGGCCGCGGTATGTGCATTCCTGACATAAAGCGTGAATTTTCAGTTTTAATTTCCAATATAATCTTGATATATTCCGTGAGAATTTCTACGTGAGAAACAGAACCCAGATGAGAAGTAATTGTGAACGTACGTGACATTTTTAGAATCTGGAATTGTAACTACAATAATGTCATCGAAATTTTTGAAATTAACGTCCAGAGTAAGTTTGCATAACTCATCAGAACGGCATGCTCCTGCAATGCCTAAGACCGTCACTACCTTCATTAGCAAATATGTGTTATCGGGTGCCTGAACGAGAAAATCGTTGACGTTATTCTTACGTTTCATGCTCTCAGCTTGGGTATTTTGATATATCCACGTTCTCCTCTATGAAAATAGTTGACTTAATCATAAATTTGCATATTCACTCCACAAACTCGTCGGTGACTTTAAAGTTCTTGACTTCTCCATGAAATATGCTAGCAGTGATATTTCAGAAATACCAGTATTTTTGTTCTGGCACCATACTTTGAACTTTCTATATGCTCGTTCGTAGCGCATTTTCGACTTCTCGGGCAATAAAAATTCGCAGGCAGCAAATAATAATTCAAAACCAGCAAAATTGCAACTTTTATATAGCTATGTTTATAAACACATTAGAAACGACAAAATCCAAACAACCAAGGCGACTTTGCTAGATTTCGAATAATGTCAAAATAAATTGATTAAGAAATGTCAAAAAATAAAACCTAATCGTTATTTCATGAACCATAAAGAGCTGTGGGAGCAGATAAAATGTTATACACCACGCAGAAGTTGAGTAAAATTTACCAACCTCTGACTCTATTGCCAGCCTTCGCTCCGCTCGGGCGCAAAGCCGTCCTCTACTGGAAAATAATACTTACCTCCTTTATGGTCTAAATAACTATTACATTCCTGAATTTGTCGTAAAATCACGCACAAGGTAATGTAAATTATTCATCTGTTCTCAAAATTTTATAGAAAACATGGTCTTTTAAATTTTGTGTTTTCTATAAACATACCAACACATTTCAAACTATTTACGTTTTTTCGAGTTTTCAAATTTTCTAATGATGTAAATAAAATTCAATTACGTATTTTACCTAAAATTTACACAAACATGAGTAGTATTTTCACACAGAATTTTATTTATTAAAACTAATTTTCCCTTATCTCCCGGCACAACAACCGCCCCATTAGCGATAAAGCCCCCACGAACCTATAAAAGCAGATAATCACCAACTATCCATCTAACGAGAACGAAAATAACGCCTAATTACCCCGAAAAGAAAGCGTTCGGGGATGATAGAAGAAAACGCCGCGCCACCCGAATAAATATTTGCTTCTCACTTTAGCCGCATCCCTTGTTTACCTTTGTCTCCGCGCCCGGGACCCATTCTAAACCGATACCCTCCGGATCGTCGCGTTTTCTTTGTCTGGGGAAGATTATTAGCGGGTATACAAAGAAAAGTACACACAGGGGATGGGGAAGCAGTGGGGGTTGTTTCTGTAAATCGCTAGTCGCTTTGTTATTGAACTTTTAACATGGCATTTAGGTGACGGACGGCTTGAAAATCTGCAAAATGTAAAGCTACAATAAATATAACAGTTAAGGTATTAGCCCAACCAAATTACATTTGGAGAAAAAAAAAATTGTTACCTGGACTTTTATAAGTGGAAATGGTGAAAAAATAAATAAATGCGTGAGCAGGGGGGGCGAAGGGTTGATTTGGGGGATTGAAAAGTTGTGAAAAATTGTTACATTGGGATTTCTGGCTTCAAACAAAAAAGTATCCATTATAAGAATTGTAGATCATGCAAATATCTACAACTTTTGTAGAAGTCTCTTTTTAAAATAACCTCAAAATTTCTGAGACATATGCGAAAAACAAGTTTTTTTTCTTATTTTTCGTTTTTTATTTCACATTTCCGCAAAAATAATTTAATTTTGACAAAACTTGGTGAAAATAAACCTTTCTGTGTCTTAAATAACCACAATTTTTTTTAGATAAAAAATCAAGATGTTTCTGAGATATTCATTTTTTCCGGTCTGAAACACTTTTCTTTCAAAGAAAAAATCTATTTAGAAAAATCATCGTACAGAGTTCTGCCGGTGATCATTTTTATTGTTTTGACATATACTTTTTGATAAAATAAAAACATCTGTAATCACAGTTCAAAAACATGCTCAAAAATGCAAAAAAATAAAAAATTGATCGCAACAATGAATTTCCAACAATGAAAATTAAATTGTACGGAAAAAATGCAAAAGAAACTGTGTCTCATTATTTGACCTAAAACTTTATTTTATTATTTATTTATCTCTGGATGATTTGAGATTTCAGCAATACAAAGTATTAACTGCAAAGTCTACTTTTAAATTAGAAAAATTACCACAACTGTTGGAACAGCTATACAACACTCCTGTAGAGCAGCTTCAAACGTGGCTTGGAAACAAAAAAAACTGCAACCAAGTAGGGCTGGAAAGAAGTAATTGCGAATAATTCCAAATTACTCATACCTCGCTTTACAGAAGTTCTAGTCGTGCCTGAAGATTTATTAAAAACAATCTCTTGTAGTTGCGAAACCTGTTGAGACGGGTGTCAAAAACATAGACTACGATGTACAGGTTTATGTACAAAATGTCATGGTTCGGACAATTATTGTTTGAACGTTGACAAAATTTCGGAAAATTTTAGTGATTCCGAAGACATTTCTCATGAAATCGAGCAACCAAGTCTTTGCTTGACTCCGGAAAATCAATTAATCGAAGAATTAAGTGATATCGAAGAAACGCTTGAAGATCAGGAAAAACCCAGTCTAATAAAGGATCGGACGGTGAAGATCAAGTTAAAAAGTTGCCAAAAAGACCAAGATTCGCCTAGTTAGGCCAGGAAAATAAGCTGGGAAATAACCATTTCGCGGCTTTTTTGTTTTGTAGGTCTTTTGAAGACGAAAAAAAAGTACTATACTGTTTTCTCGTGGAAATGAACGGAAAAAAGTTATAAAGTTATAAAAACGTGAATTTACGTAAAAATTATACCATTAACCACCCTATAAACACTCTTCCCCCCATTTTTATGACTGTGGAAACTAATGTTATTGTACATAATATTTAGCATCTATGTATAGTGATAAATTCAGCTTGTCGAAACAAAAAGTCGCGTCCAACACTACTGGACTATAGTATTATTTAATTGTAAATAACCATTGTAAAAATTTGGAAAAATTTTGTAATTTTGAAAGCGAAAATAGGAATTTTAAATAATTTAATAAAAAATCGCCTATATCTATTACGGAAAAATAATTATTATTTACTTTATTTATTCACTATTCGACTTAGATGTTTATAGTAATACTGTACAAAAATAATGTTTTGGGTCAAACAATGACAGTTTTTTTTACTTTTTTCTGTAGGTACAATTGAATGGTGTAATCAATTTTTGAATTTTTTTAAATTGAAACAAATTATCAACAATTACTGAAAAATCCATGGTTGCAAGTCATTTTTTATTTTTTTGGTGCATTTTTGATCATGCTTCTGAATTGTGATTACAGAGTTTTTTATTTCACCAAAAAGTATATGTCAAAATGAAAAAAATTATCACCGGCAGAACTTTATATGATGATTTTTCTAAGCAGAATTTTTAGTTGAAAAAAAAGTGTTGCAGACCGGAAAAAATGGAGATCTAGGAAACGTCTTGATTTTTTTATCTAAAAGAATTTGTGGTTATTTAAGACACAGAAAGGTACACTTTAACCAAGTTTCAACAAAATTAAATTATTTTTGCGCAAATGAGAAATAAAAAACAAAAAATCAGAAAAAAAACCGTTTTTCATATTTTCCTCAGAAATTTTGAGGATATCTTAAAAAGTGACCTCTACAATAGTTGTAGATTTTTGCATTATCTACATCTTTTGTATTGGATACTTATTTGTTTGACGTCAACTTTCGCTAGAAATCCCAATGATACAATTTTTTACAATTTTTCAACCCCCCAAATCAACCCTCCGCCACCGCTGCTCACGCATTTATTATTATTTTTTTTTCGTTTATTATAAGCCCCTTTATCATATCCACTAATAAAAGTCCAGGTAACAATTTTCTTTTTTTTTTCCTCCAAATGAGTTATTTCGATCTGTCTATATACGTATACGGTAATTGTAATTGTTTTCTTTTGCATAGCCAGGATTAAACAAATAATTGAATAAATATTTTTTCCACCTTGTATATTTATGGATAGAAGAAAAAAATATGCGACAGCGGTCACCCAAAGTGCTTGTCTCGTACTAAACGCAGACAAAACCCCGCTGAAAAGTCAGTGACGATTACGAAACGCTTCAAGTACAAATTCCATCCCACTTTTCCCCTAATTTTTCCAGAGAGCGGTCCAAATGAAGTGTCGACGGACCGCTCGCCCTCACCTAATTGATATGGAAGTGCGTTGTTGTAAGGGATGCGTGGTGCCGCCAGCTCGTGTGGCCAACCGTTGGGGGTACGATCCCCCGCCTCTCCAGATCGGGATATACGGATGGCGAGGGCAATCGTTTTACCGGAGCCACTGACTTGCAACTTAAGTGAATTAGGTGAGGGCTGGGGTTAAATAAAGAAGCGAATTTGTTTGTTCGGGGGGTTTATGGGGGTGTTAAATCATTTACGGTGGTCTGCGAGCGAGAATGAGAGGTTTTATCGATTGTTTTAAGTAATAAATATACAGGGTGATTCACAAATGGTGACCAAACATGAAACCTCGTATACTCCAGTCGGCAGAGGCCGAAAAGTTACTGTTGGTGACATTTTCTTGATAACTCGGAAATAACTGCACAGGTCTACTTTAAATGATGAGTATAATAACAGGCTAATTTGCTGACAAAGTATTTTATCAGGAAAAAAGTTATTAACAATTTAATCGTGAAAAAAATTTTTTTAGTAGTTTTCTTTAAATAACTCAGCGGGATGACTTTGTACGAAAAAATGCTTAGGACATGATTTTGTTCGTAATAAAAATAGCTACAAAATGGCGGTGGTCCGATTACGAAATTTGCAATAACAAAGCCGTGAGATTGAAAAAACGGTATAAAACGCCAATTTTTTTAAGTTGCTGTAAAAATGTCAATTATAAACAAAAAGTGATAAAACTTTCGAAAACTATAGTTCAATATATATACAATAATGACGCTAAAGCCGAAAATCAGGAGAGCAAAACTTTTTGTTCTATAAGGTGTTATACATTCATCGGCATCTGAAACTCGAAACTTTGCCAAATTTGTTCGAAGCTTTGCTGACACTTGAAATTTGGTACACACATAGTGTAAATATGCAGAAACCAAAAGCAATTTGCAAAATTCAAGTATCTTCATTTTTGCAGTTTTGGTAAGGTTTTATACGTCACCCTAGTTTTATACGTCACCGTTTTTTTAATTTTTGGACGTATATTTATGTATATTTATAAAATATTCCATTACGGTAGATTAGCCAGCATAATTACCTACAATTTAAAAAAATATATATTTTCATCGTTTAGATCCTAAGCTACTTAACATTTTGCGCCTGTTAGCCGTAGTCGTACATTATTCAACATATTAACATAAAACAAAATCGTACGTGTGGGGTAAACCTTTAACTTTAAGTAAACAATTGTTTAAATTTACTGTTGCATATTTCTAATAGTATACAAGCGCCGAAGAGCGGAGCTCGCGCTCGAAAATGAAAAGTTAAAGGTTTACCCCACACGTACGATTTTGTTTTATGTTAATATGTTGAATAATGTACGACTACGGCTAACAGGCGCAAAATGTTAAGTAGCTTAGGATCTAAACGATGAAAATATATATTTTTTTAAATTGTAGGTAATTATGCTGGCTAATCTACCGTAATGGAATATTTTATAAATATACATAAATATACGTCCAAAAATTAAAAAAACGGTGACGTATAAAACTAGGGTGACGTATAAAACCTTACCAAAACTGCAAAAATGAAGATACTTGAATTTTGCAAATTGCTTTTGGTTTCTGCATATTTACACTATGTGTGTACCAAATTTCAAGTGTCAGCAAAGCTTCGAACAAATTTGGCAAAGTTTCGAGTTTCAGATGCCGATGAATGTATAACACCTTATAGAACAAAAAGTTTTGCTCTCCTGATTTTCGGCTTTAGCGTCATTATTGTATATATATTGAACTATAGTTTTCGAAAGTTTTATCACTTTTTGTTTATAATCGACATTTTTACAGCAACTTAAAGAAATTGGCGTTTTATACCGTTTTTTCAATCTCACGGCTTTGTTATTGCAAATTTCGTAATCGGACCACCTCCATTTTGTAGCTATTTTTATTACGAACAAAATCATGTCCTAAGCATTTTTTCGTACAAAATCATCCCGTTCAGTTATTTAAAGAAAACTACTAAAAAAAATTTTTTTTCGCGATTAAATTGTTAATAACTTTTTTTCCTGATAAAATACTTTGTCAGCAAATTAGTCAGTTATTGTACTCATCATTTAAAGTAGACCTGTGTAATTAGTTCCGGGTTATCAAGGTTTGACACACGCCGAACTTCTACCAACTGGACTAGTATTCTTTGGTGAATTTTAAGGGGAATATTTGGTATAAAGTTTTTATCTAGGACGCTTCGTTAAAAAGATACAGGGTGTTAAACTTAAAAAAATGTTTTTAATTTTTTTAAATAATTTCAAAACTGGTAAGTGAAATAATTTGAAATTGGGCACATGTGTGTATGTAAAAATTGTCCAAAATCTGAGGCCTTTTCCTAAAATTTAGATGCTCCAGTGGCGAAGGTACAGAGTATCGGTGGCATATTTTTTTTAATAAAATAGTACGCCGCTATTTTACAGTAACAATCATGATATTTTCGGATTCGTCATTCAGTTTTCTACAAATTACTACACTCTTATATTTTTCGAAAAAAGTCTGATTTTCGAGTAAAACTTAAAAAACGAACTGAATTTACTGAAATTTTTTAAAGAATAATATTCAATTGGCGTTTTGGTTGTTCATATACATTTTTAAGAATTAATTTGTCATAATAAAATTAAAATTGTAATAATGTTTTAATTTTGACGCAATAACTTATTGAGTTATGTATGACCAAGTGATGGTAATAGTTTAAATAACTAGATGGATTTCACAGTGTCTAACGACACTTACAGTGTACGATAATTCAATAAACAAAGAAATCTAAATAAAAAATTTAGATAAATTTAGAACGAATACACTGAAGATGAATTTTTCGAGACAAAACGTCTGAATCTGGTTCGGGCTGAGGCAATACAAATGTAGGTCATGAAGGCTTGCAAAAAATGTAATAAATAGTCTAGGGTCGTATTTAAAAAATGAATTTGATGATGGTCCTGGAGAGACGAAACGTTACATATAAAAATTGATTATTCCATTCGATAGAGGGCAAAAAGTGTCCATGAGAAAGTGTTCTTCTTTTTTCAATATCACCTCAAACAAGGCTGAAATGAAACAAAAACGAATTTCCAAAATTTCCGTTTTTTTTTTTCAAATATTTCGAAAACTAAACATGTTAGCCTTGACTTTTTAGAGGCATAATGTGGGTCCCCTGATTACGCAACTTTGCCCCCATTTAAGCTATTTCGTACCTCTTACCGTTTCCGAGAACCCTGTAGTGAGAAGCGAATTTGTAACAGCCTGTATAATTATAAATATTTCGTATATTAATTAAGATATTTTATATTAATAATTTATTAAAAATTCAAATTCGCTACATCTGTCTTTGTGTTATTAAAAATCTGGACAATTAGCTAATTTACAGGACCGCAGTTTCGTCCTTTGCAGCATGTTCAGCAGTTAATTTCCCACAGTGCAACTACAACTTACATTTCCGGAAACCGAAGGAGGAC